GCCTAATCCATTTCTGTGCAGCTCAAATCCTTAGAAATTTTTTCCTTATACTGTATAGCCTTTTTATTTTTTAACTTTTTAAAATTTTTGCAGAGATAGGGTCACACTTTGTTGTCCAAGCTGGTCTCAAACTCCTGGCTTCGAACAATCCTTTCATCTCGGCCTCCCAAAGTGCTGGATTACAGGCACGAGCCATGCACCTGGCCCTGTGCAGCCTTATAATGTCCAATCCTGGGCATTAGCTCTACCCTCTCAAGTTACCCAGAATAGGCATAAATGATCATTTCCTATGATAGTCTTTCAAATATCTTAATATGATAAACATATTTTCTATGACTTCTAGAGTAGACAGTCTCTGTTCTTCTGTTTTTGAACCTTTATATGTAACTGGTAATAATTCAAAGAACAGGTTTAAACAGCCTGACCGAAGATGGCAGCTTGCTGGTCCTTACCGATTCAGGAAAGCGTTTCCAAAGCGACTGAGCTTTCTAAACGGCTTTTTGGGGTCCACGACTAAAGCATTCCCTGGGGTGCTGCCCTCAGTCTCTCCATACATCACAGCGATGAAGGAGTCAGTGGTGGGCTCCGGACCAATCCTCATGCCTGGGAAATCCTGCTCCAGTAGGTATCTGGGAGAGGGAAGAAGAAGAGAAAGCTTAGCATCTTGTCACAAAGTAAGAGGCCAGAAAGCTGCCTGTGATTACCATTTTTTTTACATAATCATTTAAAAATGTAGAAACATAACCCCCAAGAAAAGCACAGTGATCCTCATTTGCATTTCTGTTGATGCAACAGACGCTACCCCAAGAGAAGTGTACCGCGCTGGCTCCTGGGCGGATTCCTGGAAGCTCTGTTCAGGCGCACACCCCTTAGGGGAGCCTCCCTGATCTGCATGTGGGGACACCTCTTCTGTGGTCCCTGGGTGCCCTGTGCCTGCTGCCAGTGTGGTGCTCAGCATGTGTACTACAATGACTTGTTTATGGGCCCTGCAAGGTGTCTGAGGTGATGAGGGCAGACCCATGTCCCAACCATGCCAGGAGGGTGATCTTCGCCTTATAAGCCTTGAAGGGGCTCAAGGGAAAAAACCTGCATGGCCTTCTGCAGCTCCCCATTCCTGCGACTAACAATCTATTTGGTCCTAAACTATTTCTTTGTTTCTAAAAAGTTCTGACTGATTCCAATGTAAGCCCACAATCTGTGACTATTTCCAGGGAGAGGAAGTGCTGAATTCTATCAAATGCCAAACACAATTTTCCCACCTTTAAAAGAATGAGAAATTAAGCCACCGTTTAGAACTATGTTTTCTATGGAAATAAAATTGATTTTTTTTTTTGAAACAGGGTCTTGCTCTGTTGCCCAGGCTGGCTGGAGTGCAGTGCTGCAATCTCAGCTCACTGCTGCCTTAACCTCCTGGGCTCCAACAATCCTCCTACCTCAGCCTCCCAAGTACCGGGGACTACAGACACACACCACCATGCCTAGCTAACTTTTTGTAGAAATAGGGTTTCACCATGTTGCCCAGGCTGGTCTTGAACGCCTGGGCTCAAGCCATCCACTCACCTCGGCCTCCCAAAGTTGTGGGATTACAGGCATGAGCCACCACACCTGGCCTAAAACTGAAATTGTTTAGCAACCTTAACGGGCTATATTCTACACCTTTAATTGATGTCACTGCTAGTTTTACCTTCAAAGTTTCTTTGTTCCTGTGAAGTTGTGGCACCCCAGAATAGATACACCATTAAAATATGTCTCCTAAATTTAGAGTAAATCTATCTGATGATATATTTTATCTCTAAATTTAGAGAAAGAATCTGCTAATAGCACGCGGCATTTACTGGTGCTCGCTATAATCCTGGTGCAGCACCGAGCCTTCTATATCGTTTCACTTCACGCTGTGAGGTGGATGATGACATTATCCGCGTTTTATTTACAGGTGGGAAAATGGGGTATCAGAGAGGCCAAGCGGCTTGCCCAAGGTCACACAGTGGATGTTCGAGTGGAAATGGAATGCAAGCAGTCGGACTCCAGAGCTTGCACTGTCTTCAGAAATGGCCTTGAGTTACTGGTTTGCTCAGGGGTGAAAAGCAAAGCAAAGTTCAGGGCCTCATCCCAGGGTGTAGCACTGGGCCTGAGGCATGAGGATCCCCATTTCCTCTCAGGTGAGGGGAAGAGCTCTGCACACAGTCCCCCTGCACGGTCCTCCGGCCACCCTGACAACAAGGGCCAGCTCTCCCTACTCGCCCTGCAGGAAAGCTGGGCTCAGGAGGTGCTACCGTTTCAAAATGTGTTCAGATACAATTTTTCAAATATCTTCAAAAGTTTCTCAATCAAAACCTTTGTATCCCTAACAGCCTAGAAATATTCATGTTGATCAATTCGTACACATTCCACACAAATCTGAGCAATACCGGTAAAAGTTACTGAGAGGGATGGCCCACTCTGTGAAACTCCAGCCTCTGTGGAGCGTATCCAGAGCGCGTGGACTCCATATCCCACGTGAATGTGGAATTTAGGTTTTACAGCCCCTCTGGGATCTCAAGTGTGAAGTCATTCAGCAGCGAGGCTGGAATTCAAAGCCAGATCACACTCTTGGCTCCCCTCACGTCCAGTTGGATTTTTATGCCCTGTGGCCTAGATGAGGCCATGTCTGGAGGCTGGTAGGAGAGACCGAGGCAGGGGAGACTGCTAGGGAGGGAGGGGCTTGGGAGAACAGCAGCCAGTGTCGCCCGGCTCCCCGCAGCACACACAGTTCGCAATTCACGAAAATGTGAGGTGCGGGAGTGGGTTTGAAGCTTGACAGGCACTTTGCTCCAGAATCAGTGCTAACAGCAACGGTGGGCTGGCCAAGACAGCCCACAAAAGGTCATGCACACTGATTAAACAGATGAACCAGATGGGAACTGCAGCATGTGCTTTTCAGGGAAGAGCTCGGTGTGGAGCTCCACTTTGGGTGGCTCGTGGCAACACGGGCCCTTCTCGGCACCTTCACCAAGCCCGGCCAGGAGGAGGCCCTCCAGATTCCAGGCCAGGGAGGTGAGCATACGGATACCGTATTTAAGCAGTGAGTCCCCAGCTAGACAATCACTCACACAGCACAGGTGTTGAAGTCAGACATCACTGTCGAGGAGTGCCTGAATTACTTTCTGATGTTTCATTTCCATACTAGTACAGCAAATCCCACTACTTTTGAAATAACAGGAGTTTCAAGGAAAAATATAAATGAAAAAAATTGTTTAAAGAAGAGCAGATGTTTCCTAAGTAAGAAACTCCTAAACCAGAGTTTCCTGAGTAGTGACCCTATCGGACAGAACTTTAACAACAAATTATTTCTAAACTGTGCTTCAAATGTGAAATAATTTGAAGTTGAAGGTGTCCCCCTTTGACTGTGACCTTGGTAAATCAATCTCTGGATCTCAGACACAGAGGAAGAACTAGAATTAGGAAGAATTACTGTTACAAAGCTTGCTTGCATTATCAACTTGTTTGGTGATACTTTCTCCCACAGGTAATACAAAGTTAACATTCAACGTTCAATTTCACTATCAAAGAAATACCAGTAAAGACACAGCATATTAACACATTTTTAAAAACTCAGAATCATCAATGCTGGCAAGGGTCCTGTGAGATAAACACCCTTATATATGTTGGTGGGGGAATAAGTTGGTCTAACTTCACTAAAATGCAATGTGACACTGTATGTTAGAAGCCTTTAAAATAGGGGTCTTGCTGGGAGCGGTGGCTCGTGCCTGTAATCCCAGCATTTTGGGAGGCTGCAGTACCAGGATCACTTGGCATAGGAGTTCGACACTAGCCTAGGCAACATGGAGAAACCCCATCTCTACAAAACATACAAAAATTAGCCAGGTGTGGTGGCGTGTACCTACAGTCCCAGCTACTTAATAGGCTGGGGTGGGAGAATCGTTTGAGCCCAGAGAGGTCGAAGCTGCAGTGAGCTGTGATCATATCACTGTACTCCAGCCTAGGTGACAGAGTGAAACCCTGTCTCTAAATAAATAAGTAAAAACTAAACTCAAATGGGGGTCTTGCGGAGTTGACCTCTAACAGCTCGTGCTGGTGTTATTTGAGGGCTTGTTCCCTCCCCTCTCTTGGGCAGTCATTTCCTGCAGGGCATGGTCTATATACTCAGTACTTTGGAAACCTGGAGTCTGGTAGGAATGATTTGATTCAGGTTCTTATCTCTACAAGCGACAAGACTGAGGGTTAGCGCAGGAACATGGCTTGTTGCTGGTCAAACTCACAGGGTGGCCACACAGGACCCAGAACCTGCAGTCCCTTTCTCCTGGCCCCAGGCTTCTGCTCTTACATCAGGCACAGCACCATCACCCTGGGGTCCCACACTGTCCCCAGCTCCCTGGTGTTCTAAGCAGGACCTGGCAGATCCCTGAGTTGACATATGACACTCTAAGCTGATTGCCCTGAAGAAGATTTTTCACTGGGGGACTGCAGAAACTCAGATTCATTTATGTCACACTACTGGCTAGGCAGGTACGTGTCAGTGCAGGGAGGGAACTTGGAACAACCAAGACACCAAGTATCTGACATGGAGAAAGGGAGAATGAAGTGATGGATCCACACACAGCAAGCTGGAAGGGAAGAGTCTGAGCTGATGCTGAGGTGTGATGCGCATAAATGGGTCAATCACACAGCCGCACGGGACAGCCTGATCAACTGTGTTAGACATTTCTCACGGCGGGAGTGCCTCAGAGGCTTTCTCAAAGCTACGAGTTTCAGAGACTCCAGTGTTATCTGCAATAACAACAATTCAAAGGAACAAGAGGACACAGGAAGACCACTGTGATTCAGAGCTGATTAGCCCCTCCACAGGCATCCTGTGCTTTGGAACTTGATTTTTGTCCTTGGCTCCACTTTGCTCCCCCTTTCCTGTGTTCTCGGAGAGGCCTGCCAATTCCAGCAGTGATTGCTCCAAGGTTCTCGAGCCAAGTCATCCACATAAAAAGGTACAGACATTTGGATTCCAAGCAGCTGGGCGGAAGGGATGATGGGGTGGATGGGAGACCTGACATCCCCTTATCTTGGTCCGATGAGGTCCCCAGTTCAGACTCATCCAAGTGGCTCTGGGGCACCCTGGCTGGCAGCACTCAGCCTAAGCTCACAGAGCTACTTTGATGCAAGAGTATATACGGATGGTGTCTTCTTTTTTTCATTGCTTAGGCTAGATTTTTTTTTTTTAACTTCATAGAAGTGAATGTCATTTATGACAAAGGGAAGAAAAAAACTCTCAAGATATTGAAAACAGAGATACTCTCAACATGTCCAAGCACCATCTTCTCAACGATGTGCTTAAGAATGAATAAAAACCAAACAAATCTAAGTAGCACAATATCCAAACTTTGATTCCCCTGGATATTCATCCTGCATTATCTGGATTTTGACTGTTGCACTGGCGCCTGGAGTAGTGGGCAAACACTACACTTTAAAGAAATATACCTAATGTTTGACGACTCGTTATGTGCTAAAGTCTTTAGGTGAATAGTCTCATTTCATCCTAACTACCTATGGGCAGGTACTATTTCTATCCCTATTTTATAGATGAGGAAACTAAGGCTCAAATGGGTTAAGTGGTTTATTAAGAGGAAGGATTTCTTACTAG